TGTGCGTGCGTGTGTGTACGTGTGTTTGTTTGTGTGTGTGTTTTGTTGTGTGTGTGTGTGTGTGTGTGTGTGTGTGTGTGTGTGTGTTTGTGTGTAGGGATATAGTAGTAAATAACTGTAGACCCATTTCATGAATTGTGATAATACTGGTAGGTGGATAGGGGTTGATGATAGATTTTTTCCCTCAGGGCTTGTTATGACACCGCAGCGGAACTTCCGGTTTAACATCTCGTGACACGTAAGGGTCACGGATTTCGAATAGTAAATAGCTCTTGTGTTCTAGAAGAAGTAATTGAGTTTGGGGCCCATAGCAGCTTCGTTCTGGAACTGCAGAGCATTTGTTGAAGTCCTTCGAGGGATGATAAGAATCGTTGGACGGATCGTTGTGACTTTTGATATGTAGGTAGCTTAAGTTATGATTCAATATAATCAAATGACAATTGTGCAAATGGGGATCTAATTTGCATTATAAATGAGGTAATATGTTAAATCTGATGGGTTTCAACATAGATAATACACTCGTGACTTATGTAATTGAGAACGATAAAAACAACCGATTCGGAAGATACTGGAATTGGAAATTAAGCCATAATTCGCATAATTGATATTTTTATGGTGGTAACTGCCGTAAGTTTTATACGTACTGCATTTGGAAGACAAATGTCAAATATGTTTTCACACAAATTATTCAAATCAGGACCTCATTTGCATTTTTTAGGAAATAGTACAGTGGCTTTGTTAAAATTGTGCTCCCTTGTTTGAAAAGCTAAAAATATTGACTATTTATAATTTAAATCGACTTCAAACTTGTTTGTTAAAATTTAAAGTATCTATTATGACTCTTTCATATTGAACTCAGACATCAATAGCTATAAGACAGAGGACCTGCTGCCTGGAATATTTTGAACAAAACATTAAACAAACATTATATCCAACTTCTGAATCATCAATGACATTTGATAAGACTTTATATATAAATTGCTGATTTAAAAAATCGTAATTAATGCTAATAAGATGGCGTAATCGGACAAAATTTTTAATAGCGGACCACATTATTAGATGAGGGTTATAGTACGTCGTATTATGTGATAATAAAACAAAAATTATTTTTATGATTTATTTCCGCTAGTTTACCGATCATCTTTAATTTTGGTAGCCATACGTCTGTCCCCTCAGTTCTAGGAATCCTAAAAAAACATTCTAGATAAAGTTAAATATATTTTGGCAGTCGTATTGCCGTTAAGAACTTTTTTCTTTGGCTATATCTGGGTGAATAACACGCATCCTTTCGTTTATTGAAGCCTTTGCAGCCGCACGCTGGGTTCCCGAGACTAAACAGAGAATAAAGTTTAGTCCTACAGTCTTAAAGAACCTCGGTATGAAGGCTGGTCCTGTCAGCATTGAGGAGAAACTCCGAGGGGAGGCGATATGTCTCCGCAACAGGGTAATATTAGATCAAATTACTATAAACAAACGCAAGCAAACACACATTGCATCTCCCCATAAAAAAGTATGGGAGAGGAGTCTGTCATCTCTGATTACTCAATTTTGATATTTACAAGGAACTGTCAGACTTTAGAAGTAACATCCGCAACTTTTCGTCACTGACTTTAACTTTAATTCATAAACTTTGATATTGCTTGCAACTCTTCTGGTGGCTTAAACTGGTGTTTCTGGTAGAAACTTAATATATTTGAAAAAATGCGCAAAAATTCTTTATTACATGTTCTTAACTTCAGTTAGCAGGATATGAGGAAACGCCATTTGATGCTTTAAACGACATAAGCGTCGCTGTCGCGAACGTTTTCCGCGGCAAGGCGTTCGGGAAGTGCTATGACTACGGGGATGAAACGTTCCGAGATCTCGTTGATGCCATGCATAAGGTCGTTGACGGACTTGGGTCTGGACAGATCATCAGCGTTTTCCCTTTCTTACGGTTTGTTCCTGGAAGTAAGTAACATTGATTTACTTAAAGTTGTACACCTCGTTGCTTTCTCTTTTCCTTGCCGTGAAATTTTCAGCGAGCAAAGAAAAGAATCCACTGTCGACATTGATCTTTTCCAACTTTCTTTGTCACAAGATCGACAGATGTTATACTGTATACTACTATTCCAAAATGCTGTCAATGCCAATTATGCGAAGACATTACATAAACACACAAAAAAAAAGATCTGTATGGATGTTGTACAACATAATAGAGAAGCTGTAGATGGCTGCCTATGACATCTAGTGGATTGGTAGGGGCAGCAAAGATCAAGTTTTATAATGGGCCTTCTATGGCGGATATGTATGATATTACAGCGAAGCTTTGATGTTTGAGGGAAGATTTCTGGAACTGTAAAGTTAATGATTTATTTGTAGTTGGAGGTCGTTGGGTGTGGGAGTAAGTGGTGTAAGTTTGGGCCACCTAGCAGTTTGTTTTGAACTTAAGTTGTTTTTGATGCCCCCGCGGTAACCCGGGAATTCGCATTGTTTAGGTAGATATTTACTTTAGATTATAGAAATGCACGAATCGCCACCCATGACCAATTAGCATCAATAAAATGTTGTTGATTATAATTGTTGCAGGACAATAAGTTTCCAATAATATAAAGTTTTGAATCATTCACTAATATCTTTTCCTAGTAAACAGCGGCTTCAAGGAAGTGCTGAAACAGAGCACCAAGATTCAGGAAGTAGTGTGGGACGAGATCACGCGCCATCGCGAGAACCTGGATCGCGAGAACCTGGATCGCGAGAACCCGCGAGACTTCCTGGACTTCTGCCTGCTGGAGGTTGAGAAGCAGGAAAAGGTGGAGGGTCTGACGGAGGAGAACGCTGTGTACGTCGCCATGGAGCTCTTCATGGCGGGAATAGGCAAAACCACCAACACCCTGCTGTGGAGTCTGATGTATATGACTTTGAACCCCGACATCCAAAATAAGGTACTGTTCAGCATCAAATGTTACTTTTGTTACACTATGTAATAAAAATAAATAAATTTTACGGCTCTCAGTGGCCAATATGAGATGTTGTCACATCGGCGCACCAAATCCGTAAGGTGTTTTTGGCACCCTGACAGACAGATTAGCCTAAGAGGCTCGGTGGGCGTCACTCCACCGTATAGGTGGGGAAGTCGTGTAAAGTGCCTTTCCCAAAGGCACAACGTCGGGCCACGGTGAGTATCGAACCCGGGACCTCTCGGTTCCGAGTCCAACACTCTAACCGTTGCGCCACCGACGCCACTCACACTATGTAGAATCGTGTAAAGATCACCTAAAATCTGAGATACAGTCCTTTTGTTGCATGTTCCCGTTCTTTGCATTCCCTACTGGTGAAAATGGTGATTTTGATTAACGGTGAATCTTGGTTTAGCTAAACATAGAAATAAAATAGAAGCTCTTCAAAACAACTGCAAGTAAATTAACATTACATAGCTCGCAAGTTTGAGTCATCTGCAACTACACTTAGCATTAACATGATGTCTTAGATTTTCAAGGACAGCACGTAGTACTTGTGTGCCGTACAGCTTCAAACAAACAGAATTAAATTTAACCATACACTTTTGAATTACTGGTTTTTATTGCAGACCAGCTAACAAAAATTCTAGTAAAGATAAGAGTAAAGTGGATTTAAAATCACACGTAACCACTATGTGTATTACTAGATTTAAGAGCTATAAGTGGCATCAGAGATGTACGGCATGCTAGTTCATACCCACTAAACCATTAGACGGTACGATTTGTACAAGTTTTTTCTTAGTGAAACTGTAAGCCAGATGCAAGAATCATGCTTGTCCGATACATGTAGGTACGTCTTTCAACCAAAGTGAGCATAGTTCCTTATTCTTTTTAGGAAATGACAAGAAAACCCAATGCCATTAATTACATTGATTTAGTAGTCACTGTAGTCATTGCTCAATGTTTTAATTATAACTAACTATTAGTACAAATATTGAATTTTTACGACGTTTGGTGTGTGCTTCGTATCTTTGTCTATCGAATGTTATATTTTCATTATTAGAACGATGGTCCTGAAGAAAAACATAATGGCAAGAGTCATAAAAACAGCTTCTGAATATGTAAATCGGCAACGTGTTTGGTAGCCAGATGTTTACACTATTCAAATGCAGAGACCGTATCTTGAGATGAAAACTTCAAACCTAACACGTGCTGTGTGGGTGTGAATGTTTATAAATGAGACACAGGCGATTAACCTCTCCAATGTTTACGTGATGTGTCTCGACACTTGGTTACTAGTATATTCAACCCTAGTAAATATCTGATACGTTTCTACTAGGGTTGAATATACTAGTAACCAAGCTGTTTATTTTTTTTTTTAAACATCATGATAGTTGATGTTTAGGATGTTGTATTTAGGAATTGTTTATGTACTGTGTATTTGTTGTGTGTATTTTTATGTGTAACCAGGATTACCTGAAAAGCAGGCCAAAATGGCCTGAGCTAGAATTACTGGTTTAATAAATAAATTGAATTGAATTGAATGATTAAAAGAAAGATATTATAACACCATTTTAACGATTCCATTGAATTTATTTCTTAAAGTACACAATTTGACATTTTAAAGACAGGCACTAAGGTTGATTAAGTCTCATCTGCGATAATTCCTGCTTTGTAAAACCCAGAGAAATAAATAGAACTCAAGCCAAGACACATTAAGGTAACACTCTATTAAAATCAACAATTAAAAATCTTCGTCATTTCTGGACGTTTACGACTGACCTATTTTAGATAATTTTATTTGATTGTGCTAAGAATTCGTTTTATTTCTTTTGACTACCATGGTTACTCATGCAAAGTGTCTGTTTAAATAATTCAAATGTGTTCCCTATGTTCTAATTGTTTCTAATAGACAATATTTAGCCTTAATGTAAATCTAGGTATAAACCAGCGTCAATACCTCAACGGACATAGAATTATGATTAGGTAAATGTGGAAGAACTCTTTTTACACCATAAAAAGGCGGAAACTCCAGTGCTTTGGTCATGCCACACGAGCAGGGAACATCACCACCCACGTACTGCAAGGGGTGATCAACGGAAGGAGGAGCCGTGAAAGATCACGTCGGAGGTGGGGCGACGATGTCCGTGACTGGATGGGAATGCCACTGGCAGAGTGTTCTCACAGGGCCAGGGACAGGAGGGAGTGGAGGAGGCTGATACTGGCTTCCACCATAGTCCCCGACCCTCAGACATGAGGATGGGACTAGGTAAAGGTTGAAATGTTTGTTATTTAGCTTAGTTCATATCAGAGTATTTGCATGTCTTTGATTTTTTTGTATTCTTTTTAGTTTAATTAAGGTCTTGTGAAAGATCGCAAAAATAAATAATTTCCAAAATACAGACAAATTTTCTCTCCCCCACGACCTAAATGACTAACACTAAGAGCTAATAGAAGGGGTGACGCGCCTTGAAGGGCATGCGCACAAGTAGTAAACTTAAAATGAACAAAAGAACTTTAAAACCCTTCCTTTGGTGTGAATTTTGTTGAATTTTTGGCATTTTTTTGTGGATTGTACAGTGTAGGGTTTTAGTGAATGTTTGAGCAAAGAAATTGACGTTTTTCATACAGTTGCCTTGTTATTGGCTTTTCTGTTGCCATGCACCCTCCTGCTTAACGCCTTGTTATCGCCCTTGGATATCAGGTCAAAGTGCACGAATTCTTAGAAACAGAGCTGTAGCTTCTGTTTCGCCGTCAACTTTTCCCGAAACTTGTAGTAGGTGCATTTTTATAAATTGGCTAAAATATGAAGGTGGGTTTGTGTCACCAAAACTTTGTAAAGGTGAGATATGACACCCATGTTATGTCTGTTTTACCATGTTTTAATGCAGCAACCTTCAAGACTTGTCTCTCCAATAGCTACTTGATCTGAAATTTCCAAGTTAGTTGAGTGACAGTTTTATTCCGGAAATTACCAACACCCAGGAAGTATTTAAAATTTTGAGTTTTGTTTATGGGTTTATTTGTATATTTCACATTGTGTGTCTTGACTAAATAAGTACAATAAGTTACAACACTATTTAATAAAGTTCAACTACTATTCATGTTCTATTGGCAGAAAAATTTAATTCTGTGACAATACCTCCATCTATTTGTTAGGGCTTTCCTAACTTGTTGCATCCCAAACTTTAATTAATTCGAGTGTTGCTAATTTTTACCATGTAAACTTGAGTTGATTCTGGCATTAGAAGGATATTGTGCGCCTGCACATTTTATCGTAATAAATTAAAATAACGATAAAAGTAATAACAACAATAAAAAATAAAATCTATTGGCATGGCTTCTCTTTTTAACACAGAAAAACATTACTAAACTTGCTATCCTCCTTTTTTATTATTCAGCAGAACTTACATCTGGATGTTGCCTTTTTCATCCTGTAAACTTGATATGATTCTTCTATCATAAGGACATTCTTTGCCTTCACTGAATAAGTAATAATAAGTTATAAATCTTTGCATTTCCTGTTAGTAAAATATTCACATCTGTGACAGACCAGCATTTTTAAGACTTGTTCAAGTTGTTGCCTCCCAAACTTCAATCAATTGGAGTGTTGCCAATTTTTACCAAGTGAACCTGGTTTGATTCTGCCATCAGAAGGACACTCTGTGCATGTATATTGTATTTTTTTTGTATCGTAAGAAGTAACAATAACACTAAAAGTAATAAAAGTATTTAAATATGCATCTTCTTTTTTCACAGCTTCTATTTGTATGACAGCATGACCATTCCCAAACGTGCTATTTTCCACTAAAATTCAGGACAATTTACATCTGGATGTGGTCCTCATTTTCTTAAAGTAAACTTGACTAAATAAGTAATAATAATTAATAGAACTATGCATTTCTTTATGGCACAGCGTTCACTTCCGTGACAGACCACCGTTTCTTAACTGTTTCTGTTCTGCTCATTGACAATTTGTTGCCTCCCAAACTTCAATCAATTCGAGTGTTGCCAATTTTTACATATTGTGCAAATTTGTGCATGTACATTGTATTGTAACAAATGGTAACAATAACAACAAGAATTCCGAGACGTCATACCTCCATGAAATATGGGCTTGATATGTAAATGTACATCTCTTCTTTAATTATGCAAATTACCTCTGCATTAACATGATATATGCATCGTGATGTATGTTAACTTTTGATTAACTTACAGATGTCCCAAGTATGACATTCCCATCATTCACCATTAAGAAAACATAGAATTTTTGCATAAATTATGCAAATTAGGTCATAATTTGCATAATTTGTATTTAATCATGTACATCTCACTCTCAGTTACCTACACACCAAACATTATGAAAATATGTTGTTCCTATCTGGACTTATTGGCTTTTAAACATTTTGCCAGAAAGTGCCCTGCAGTTCCAGAACAAGCTGCTAGGGGGACCAAACTCACACCACTTATTTCTGACAGGAAAAGCAATCTGTCACCAAAACATCAAGACCATAGCATGTTTAGGACAAAAGATACAAAAACCGGAAGTTCTGCTGCAGTACCAAGGTCATCCACCAGGAGGCCCATATTTGACCTTGACGTTTGTCTTCCTAAGACTTACCAACATACCAAATATCATCATAATCCATAAAGGCGTTCTGAAGTTATGCTGATCACAAAGTTGCGGAAACACAGACAGACAGACAGACACACACACAGACAGACATACAGACAGACACACCAAAAACAATACCTCCATTTTTCATGGAGGTAATAAAAGTAATAAAAGTGTTTAAATATGCATATTCCATTTGCACAGCGTCTACTTTTATGGCAAAATGACCATTCCTAAACCTGTTATTTCCAGTAATATTCAGGAAAATTTACATCGGCATGTTTCCCCCATGTTCATCAACAAGTAAACTTGAAATGATTCTGCCATTAGAATGATATTGTGTGCTTTTACAAAATACGTAATACGATAAGTAATAAAACTATGCATGTTCTTATGCTCTGGCACAGCGATCACCTCTGTGACAGACCACCGTTTCGTAAAACTTGCTCTAGTTGTTGCCTCCCA